GGAAGACGACGAAGACGAAGTCGAAGATGGCGACGACGACGGCAGCGGCGACGGCAATGACGATGGCGGCGGCCTCGACGGGCACGGCGGCGGCAGCGACGAGGGCGGCGGCGGCGGCGTCGATGGTGGCGACTGCTGCGGCGGTGGGGGCCCGCGATCGCCTGGGGCCGTCGCGCGCGCAGATCGGGAAAGACCTGCTGGTGCGCATGACGCACTGGCCGGCCACCACGCGTGTCCCCGTGCGTGATCTGTACCCCGACCCGGAGCCCCTCGCGGACGTCGTCGTTGTCGTCGTCGTCGTCGTCGTCGTCGTCGTCGTCGTCGTCGTCGTCGTCGTCGTCGCCGTGGTCGTCGTCGTCGTCGTCGTCGTCGTCGTCGTCGTCTTCTGTCGTCGGTGGAAGGGAGGGAGGGGGAAGTATCAAGGGAGGAACACTGGCGTTTACTAAGCAGTCTTTGGCGTTTACTAGGCTGTCCTACTCTCGTCGATTCCTTTCTCAGGTCCCTTTGCTAAAAAGCTTCGTTTGTGTACGGGTGCTTCGGATGAGGGTGTTTTTTGCCCCTCTAGTAGAAGGGTGGGAAGGAATGACGATTCTGATAATGATGGTGATGTTGCTGCTGCTGCGGTTGCTGATGATGATTATGATGATTACGATGACGATGACGATGACGATGAGGTGACGGAGATGATGGTTCTGATGATGACCATCATCATGACGGGAATTCGCGTTTTATCACGATTATGATGCTGCTGATGATGCTGATGACGATGCTGCTGCTGCTGCTGCTGATGATACTGATGCTGGTGATGATGATAATGATGATGGTGCTGATGATGGTGATAATACTGATGATGATGATGATGATGATGATGATGATGATGACGATGACGATGATGCTGATGATGCTGATGATGGTGACGATGATGCTGATGGTGATGCTGATGATGGTGATGATGACGATGATGATGCTGATGATGATGGCGACGACGCAGACGATGATGACGATGATGATGATGATGCTTGTGACGATGATGATGTTGATGAGGATGATGCTGATTATGATGATGCTGATGCTGATGACGAGGACGATGACCATGCTGCCACTGCTGCTGCTGTTGATGATGATGATGATGATGATGATGATGGTGCTGATGCTTATGTTGATGCTGATGATGCTGATGCTGCTGCTGATGATGGTGATGACCATGATGCTGATGCTGCTGCTGATAACGATGATGATGTTGGTACTGAAACTGATGCTGATGCTGATGATGCTGATGATGGTGATGATGTTGATGTTGATGCTGATGATGGTCGTACTGGCGATACTGATGACGCTGATGATGATGCTGATCATGCTGATGATGCTGATGATGACGATGATGATGCTGCTGCTGATGATGATGCTGATGATGATGCTAATGCTGCTTACGATGATGATGAGGATGATGATGATGATGGTGCTGATGATGATGACGATGATGATGCTGCTGATGATGCTGATGATGCTGATGATGATGCTGATGATGCTGATGCTGCTGATGCTGATCCTGCTGCTACTGATGATGATGCTGATGCTGCTGCTGATGATGATGATGCTGATGATGATGCTGCTGCTGATGATGATGATGGTGGTAATGATGATGATGATGATGACGATGATGATGATGCTGATGATGATGATGCTGATGATGATGATGATGATGCCGATGATGATGCTGATGCCGAGGATGATGATGATGTTGCTGCTGATGATGCTGTTGATGATGATGATGACGATGATGATGATGATGATGATGATGATGATGATGATGATGATGATGATGATGATGATGATGATGATGATGATGATGATGATGATGATGATGATGATGATGATGATGATGATGATGATGATGATGATGCTGCTGATGATGATGATGATGATGCTGATGATGATGATGATTATGATGCTGATGATGCTGATGATGATGCTGATGATGCTGATGCTGATGATGATGATTATGATGATGATTCTGATGTTGCTGATGATGATGACATGGTGACTATGATGGTGACGATGACGATGTCGATGACGATGACGATGACGATGATGATGATGATGCTGATGATGATGATGATGATGATGCTGATGATGCTGATGATGATGATG